TCCAGTGTTTAGTTATTTCTGAGACTATTTTTAATGCTTCAAATTTGCAAAGTATTATTCTGTTTGCATATCTTAGGATATGTGTTTCTTTTTGTTGTGAATAGCTTTGTTTCATGTGACATTTTACATGATGGAATTTCTAATAAATAGTTAATTTAACCATAGTGCATGAAGTCATTTTGTAATTTTGTAGTTTTGGGATTTAACTAATAAACAAAGATACTGTTCTTGCCAACTATATATATATATATATGAAAGGTCCTGATTTTTAAAATGTCTTTCTATTGCTTTTTGATGAATGATAATTTTAGTTCTATCTTCTAAAAGAAATTATAATGCATTTGACATTTGCTAACAAATTTATTAGTGAGAAGCATTTATTAGAATTTGCTTTTTAGAATAAATATGAATGTCATTATAGCATTGGAATTCTGTAAATATAGTAAGACATTAATTATAGTGTAAGTTATTTTCTTGTGTGTTTTTTATGCAGTCTCAGCACACAGTAGTCTAAACATACCCAACTTGAATTTTCCACTTCCAAATTCTCAAGGCAAAGCTTGTCTTGTCAAACTGTATGGAGGTTCAGAAAGCTTGAAAGTTAATGACGTTGTTGAAGTTATTGCTGTTCTTTCAGTGGAGCCATCGCTAGCTCACGTTAGCCGTTTTGCTTCACAAAGGTACTCTTTTTCTCACTTATTAACCCTCAAATGAATTACTTTTTCTACCATTCACTACTTGTGGATCCACATATTGTATCAAAATGAGTGGTTTTATGTTTTTGCTGGTTACAACATTCAGTGTAAATAACTGACTGGCAACTAGTGGGATTATTTGCAGTATTGATCATATTTTTGTTTGTTTTGTGTGACTCTCGTATTATTAAAGGCCTCTGTAACTACTAAGTTATAGTTATATAATGTTATAATGTCAATTGGGGGATTAAATAAGTGAAAATATGGGAGTTGTATTTTTTTTTTTGAAATACCAGGCCCCTAAAGTATACCATGAATTTTTAGTATAGAATAGAAATGTTAAATTCAAGTTTCTGTTTAGATCTACCAGGTTACCCTTACGTGTGTGTGTGTGTGTGAATGTAGTCTGTGGTTTGCTATAATAATGTTTTGGGTTGACTTCTTTTATCTTATTTATACAGATTTTTCATGTAGAGATAAGGTTAACAAGTATTGTTTTATTACATAAGCTACTTGTGTTGTCAAGTTAACCTCAAAATGAGCTGTAGAAAAAAAAGATAAAAAGTGATAAACTTAGTAATTTTTCAGCTTTATAGTGGCATATGAAAAGGCAAAGTGATATGAAGTACTGTGTTGAAAGATGTTGAACTGAAGCCCCCCCCCCTAATTCAGAGCTTAATATATTTCAATAAAAAAAAAAGTCTTAAGGCAACAAAATTTTGTATTAAAGTTTCATTTATTGGGGCATAGGTTTGTCCTGCCATAGAGCTTTGTATTTTGGAGCTGGTAAGTCAGATTGTAATCTGTATGATGCCATAAAAAGTTTACTGCACATTAAGCTGGGAGTGTCTTTAATGAGTGGCAGTCAATTTCTTAGCACGATTGTGGGTTCTTGCTGACTGGCTGGTAACAAGTTTTAGTATGTTAGTATCAAGGCATATTCAATTGTTTTTATGTGAGGGAAGTTTGTATTTCTTTTAACTAGTTTGGTATGGAATGTTTAAGAGGCTGGTAGTTTTTTTTTCAGGTCTTTAAATAGATATGAAATTAGACTTGTGTGTTCTATTATTCCACATTTTGCTTTCAGTTTGGTGATATAAATAATGTATTCAATCAACAATATTTTACTTTTTATATTTTTAAGAAAACGTGCTGAAAATGTTAATATATTATATATATTTTTGTTTTGATTATTTATACTACATTTTGTTTGAATTACAAAACAAAAGTATTTTTGTTTTGGACAAGAAATGAGGGCAATGATGCAGTATCCATTGGAGGGCTTTCAGAATTTGAGTCTGAAGAATTAGAGGCACATAATCCACCACCATCGCTGGTGCCACGTCTTCATGCCATATTAATTAAGCCTCTAGATCACATCAACCCAAAACTTCCAGTGGGACTTAAATCTAGCAAAAACCAAAAAGGTGAGTAGTTCATATAATACTTCAAAATACTTTTAAATTTATCTCATTAGATATGTTAAGTCTTATGAGACATCACAACTCTTCTAAAACACTTAGCCAAGAATGATTATTTTAAAAGCAACTCAATCTCTTGTATAGTTATCCAGGAAATTCAAAAAGAAGCAGCTACTACAAGAGGAGAACTTCACACTATCTTGACACAAGCTCTTCTTGGTGATAGTTTATCTGCTGATTATCTGTTATGTCACCTGTTATCTTCAGTTTACACTCGTTGCGATGTCATGGCTTTAGGAAAGCTAAGCCTTAACTTGACCAAGATTCCTGTTCTTGAAGGTTATAAGAAAAGCCTGTACCAACTAATAGAAACACTTGTCACAAAGGTAGAGTAGTTAAACTTCAAATGCTTGATGTATTTGATATTGATAAAAAAAATGAAGGTTGTGAATTTGTTAATATAAATTAATAATTAATATTAAACTATGTATGTTAAAAGAATATTAAAAAAATCCCCTTTTTAATGACCCCTTACATGTCCTTGCCAATTTTTGCCAGAATTTGTGGATCCAATCTTGAGAGCTTCAAAACTATTTTGATCCTGAGTGAGGGCTCAGGTTTGAAAATTTAATATATCTGAGTTTAATTTATTGCTTTGAGCAGCTTCTACATATGAATACAAATTTTCAAGTAAATAAATCATTTTAGCTAAAGTTGAGAGTCCCCAAAATACCTTGACTCCCCACTCTCAAGTCTCTTGAAAATTTCACTTATGTTCTATGGAGGTTAAGAACCTGTGTAAGTAGTTTAAAAGTTATTTATAAAAAAAATATGGGAAGAATTGAAAGATAAGAGTAAATATGGATACATACACAGATATAAAAAAATTAAAACTTTAGGTAATAAAATCAAATTTTACACATTTTAATATAATTAGTTATCTATAAAGGAATTTGTTGTATGAAAAAGGATGAATGTTACTGATTTTGAAGATACATAGTGCAGGTGAAGTCAAGTTATCAACACTCGTATATGTACTTTTTAAATTTAGATGCATTTACTCTTCTTATTACCAGTACTAAGCATACAAAGCTCTTAACATAAATAATTGAATAATCGATTGTAATAAGTCCTCTTCCAGCCTTAACAATATGACAACATAAATCAGGCATGGTTCTTTCTTCCATTTTGCTATATACTCTTTAACTGTTAATGTAGCTTGGTAGGCTTCCCTTCTTCAATGTTGATTTTCAATTAGTGTGACAAATTTCTGATTGGATTAACACTGAGACTGTAGGTTGGCTATTTATTGACTATATTGCTAGCCCTCTCTTTCTGTGTGTGTATATATATATATATATACACACACACATACACACACAGTCACAGTTGTGTC